CACACCAAGAGCACACTCACAGCACACTCACAGCACACCTACAATACACCCACAGCACACGTACAACACACTCATAGCACACCTACAACACACCCACAGCACACTTACAACGCACTAACAACACACCCACAACACACCCACAACACACCCACAGCACACCCACAACACACCCACAACACTTTTATAACTCACTTACAACACACCCACAACAGACCCACAGCACACCCACAACACACCAACAGCACACCCACAACACACCCATAGCACACTTACAACACACCTAGAATACACCAACAGCACACTTGCAACACACCTAGAACACAATGACAACACACCTACAACACACTCATAACACACTCACAGCACACCTACAACACACTCACAGCACACTCACATCACATCCACAACGAACTCACAGCACACCTACAACACACTCACAACACACCTACAACACACTCATAGCACACTTACAACACACCCACAGCACACTCACAGCACACTTACAACAGACGCACAGCACACTTACAACACACCTAGAACACACCTACAACACACTCACAGCACACCCACAAACACACTCACAGCACACTTACAACAACACACTCACAACACCCACACACTCACAACACACACAACACACCCACAACACACCCACAACACACCCACAGCACACCCAATAACACACACAGCACACAACAGACCTACAACACACTCACAGCACACTTACAACACACCCACAGCACACCCACAACACACCCACAGCACACTCTATGAAACACACTCTATATAACACACTCCACAGCAACACTTACACATACACACCCACATCACACCCACAACACACCCACAGCACACCCACAACACACTCACAACACCCACACTCACAACACACACAGCACACCCACAACACACCCACAACACACCCACAACACACTTCACAAACTATATACCATACTCACCCACAGCACACCCACAACACACTCACAGCACATCCACAGGACACTTACAACACACATTTACAGCACACACTTACAACACATTCACAGGACACTTACAACACACCCACAGCAAACCCACAACACAATTACGCATACAACACTCCACACTTCACAACACACCCACAGCACACTCAACAACACACTCACAGCACACCCACAGGACACTTCATACAACACGCTCACAGCACACTCTCAACACACTCACAGCACACCCACAGCACACTTACAACACACCCACAGCACACCCACAACACACCCTCAGCACACTCACAACACCCATACTCACAACACACCCACAGCACACCCACAACACACCCACAGCACACTCACAACACACTTACAACACACTCACAGTACACTTACAACACACCCACAGCACACCCACAACACACCCACAGCACACCCACAACACACCCACAACACACTCACAACACCCATACTCAAAACACACCCACAGCACACCCACAACACACTCACAGGACACCCACAGGACACTTACAACACACTTACAACACACTCACAGGACACTTACAACACACCCATAGCAAACCAAGAACACACTCACAACACCGACACTCACTACACACCCACAGTACACCCACAACACACTCACAGCACACTCACAGGACACTTACAACACACCCACAACACACCCACAGGACACTTACAACACACTTACAGCACACCCACAAGACACTTACAACACACCTACAACACACCCACAGCACACTGACAACACACCTACAACACACTCACAGCACACTGACAACACACCCACAACACACCCACAGCACACCCACAACACACCAACAGCACACCCACAACACATTCACAGCACACTCACATCACACCCACAACGAACTCACAGCACACCTACAACACACTCACAACACACCTACAACACACTCATAGCACACTTACAACACACCCACAGCACACTCACAGCACACTTACAACACACGCACAGCACACTTACAACACACCTAGAACACACCTACAACACACCCACAGCACACCCACAACACACCCACAGCACACCCACAACACACTCACAACACCCACACTCACAACACCCACACTCACAACACACACACAGCACACCCAAAACACACCCACAACACACCCACAGCACACTTACAACACACCCACAGCACACCCACAACACACCCACAACACACCCACAGCACACTCACAACAGACTTATAACACATAACACACTTACAACACAGCACACACCCACAACACACACACCACACCCACAACACATCACACCCACAACACACACCACAGCACACTTCCACAACACACTTCACAGCACACCCACAGGACACACACCCACAACACACTTCACAGCACACATCTCAGCACACACTCACAGCACACCCACAGCACACTTACAACACACCCACAGCACACCCACAAACACCCAAAACACACTTACAACACCCATACTCACAACACACCACCAGCACACCCACAACACACCCACAGCACACTCACAACACACTTACAACAGACGCACAGCACACTTACAACACACCTAGAACACACCTACAACACACCCACAGCACACCCACAAAACACCCACAGCACACCCACAACACACTCACAACACCCACACTCACAACACCCACACTCACAACACACACACAGCACACCCACAACACACCCACAACACACCCACAGCACACTTACAACACACCCACAGCACACCCACAACACACCCACAGCACACCCACAGCACACACACAACAGACCTATAGCACACTCACAGCACACTTACAACACACCCACATCACACCCACAACACACCCACAGCACACCCACAACACACTCACAACACCCACACTCACAACACACACACAGCACACTTACAACACACCTATGACACACCTACAACACACTCACAGCACACCACAACACACCCACAGCACACCCACAACACACTCACAACACCCACACTCACAACACCCACACTCACAACACACACACAGCACACCCACAACACACCCACAACACACCCACAGCACACCCACAGCACACTCACAACAGACCTACAACACACACACAGCACACTTACAACACACCCACATCACACCCACAACACACCCACAGCACACCCACAACACACTCACAACACCCACACTCACAACACACACACAGCACACTTACAACACACCTATGACACACCTACAACACACTCACAGCACACCTACAACACACTCGCAACACACTCACAGCACACCCACAGCACACTTACAACACAGCCACAGCACACTCACAACACCCATACTCACAACACACTCACAATACACTTACAACACACTCACAGCACACTTACAACACACCCACAGCACACCCACAACACACCCACAACACACCCACAACACACTCACAACACCCGTACTCACAACACACCCACAGCACACCCACAACACACTCACAGCACATCCACAGGACACTTACAACACACTCACAGCACACTTACAACACACTCACAGGACACTTACAACACACCCACAGCAAACCCACAACACACTTACAACAACCACACTCACAACACACCCACAGCACACTCACAACACACTCACAGCACACCCACAGGACACTTACAACACACTCACAGCACACTCTCAACACACTCACAGCACACCCACAGCACACTTACAACACACCCACAGCACACCCACAACACACCCACAACACACTCACAACACACCCACACTCACAACACAACACACACCACAGCACACTTACAACACACCCACAGCACACACACCACACTTACAACACACCCACAGCACACCCACAACACCCACAACACTCACAACACACCCATACTCTCACCAGCACACACCCACATCACACCCACATCACACACAGGACACACTCACAGGACACCCACAGGACACTTACAACACACTCACAGCACACTTACAACACACTCACAGGACACTTACAACACACCCATAGCAAACCCAGAACACACTTACAACACCCACACTCACAACACACTCACAGCACACTCACAGGGCACTTACAACACACCCACAACACACCCACAGGACACTTACAACACACTCACAGCACACCCAGAAGACACTTACAACACACCTACAACACACCCACAGCACACTGACAACACACCTACAACACACTCACAGCACACTGACAACATACCCAGAGCACACTCACAGCACACTTACAACACACCTACAACACACCCAAAGCAAACCCAAAGCACACTTACAACACACCTAGAAGACACTCACAGCACACCCACAGCAAACCCACAACACACTTACAACACTCCCACAGCAAACCCACAACACTTGTTTGGAGTCTAACACATACAAAAATAACATAATTTAACGGCAGTTTCTAAAGAAATAACATTTACTCTTGAGTTTCAGTATAGTTCTATTTTGGGTCGGGTTCCTGTGAACATGTCCTCGGGGAATTACAGACATTCTTCATTATATATGAGTGTTACCTCCACGTGTTGAATAGGAGAGGTGGACCAAGTACATCCCATAAGGATATAAAATATCGACCACACGAAAGATTCAGAACTACATACGTCGATACAATTCAAAACGAAAGTCAATCCTTTCAATTATTTCACAATTTGAATGTGTGAGTGGATACTTGTATACAAGCATGGGTTGCTGAAGATCTATTCTAACCCTGATCTTCACGGGTAGAACACTTTAGGTAAGATAAATTAGATAAATATAAAACCATTGCATCTGAATCGCTTTCTTTCAGTTTTCAAAACTGAACATACATGTTTTCAAAACTGAAACGTATCAGTTATATTTATGTTGTTGGGACATATGAATTAATAATTTACAGTTCTTTGATGGTGGTTTTTCAGAAAATTGTTTCATGACAACAAATAGTATCAGACCAAACAATACATATCTTCTTTTATCTCTAAGTGAATTTATCGCTGTTTTGAAGAATCTACACAATATCGTAGCAGTTATGAAATGAGCCTACCTGACTGCATGGTAAATATAATAAAGGAGCTTGTAAGAATCCATGTAGCATCGTCCCACGTTGGAGTGTTTCGGAAGTCTGTAGCCTCTGTTTGACTTTGGACAGTGGTCATCGACGATGTATTGGCAGGAAATGTTGACTCTGTCGTAATTTCCAGGGAACTTGTATTTGTCGCCATGTTGAGCCAATTGCGATTTGGAGTTGAAATTTGGACTACTCTTTGTAGGAGAGCACAAAATCATATATGGCTATACATTTTAACAAGATTGTCTTTACATCTGTCTAGGATGGTAACACATGAACACCTTGTCCAAGCTGTAAAAGGTCTTCAAATGACATTGAAAACACACAATAGTTATACATGTGAAGAGTATAAATCCACACTCAGTTTATAGATAACGGAGATAGTTTGTCTAGTCACGGGACAGCCTTGCATTTCAACACACATAATCACTTGAGTCTAATACACCTGTTCAGATTAAAGGTGATCCCCAAGAAAACAGCAGCGACAAGATGAAAAAAATGACATCAAGTCAGAAACCACTGCTGTGAAGAAACCACTGTCCAGTCCGTATTGATATAGCCAACAGATAGGTTCACTGACACGGACTGACGCTTTCAAGCGGACTAAGCTGAATGGAACAAATATAGCTTACCTGTGTGGCTGACAACATCAGGACAAATCGATCGCCTATTGGTGATCAGCATGAGCTACTCACCAGATGCTGTTCGGAGCCATGCCATGTCATCTCAGCTGATCACTTGGAAATTACATCCTACGATCGCTGTTGGTGTAGATCATTTAGTTTACCGGATAGCATGTGTTCGACTAACGCATTAATGTCTTTTGGGTTATTTTTATACTTTAAATTGTTCCTTTATACAAATTAGGATCTTTGTTGGGTGAGTGCAATAGACATGTATGTTCATTTTAACATCACTATCACCGAGGAGTTCATATTCGTGTATTGAGGTAGGAAATTGGAACATGTGAAGAGAATATCATTAGCAGCGAATTAAATATAAGCTGATATTTCAAATTTCTTGCAAATTCCTTTTGGCGTTAATGATTTCTTATCCCATCGTTTCTGGAGCCGATATTCAGAAATGAAATCAAAAGGAAACCCTGAAGATATTACTAAAACTTTAAACATATTGTGTGTATGTTCAGCATAGACAGAAAGCATCATGAATGTTTCAAAATGCAGCCTGCTATCGATACCGGGCAATAGGTATATAACTGTGTTTATAAGTAGTAGAATCTGATGTAATTCGAAACTGGCATATTGTTTGAAGTTCTTATAAATACAAGCGCTGTCGTGTGACTGCAATTATACAATGCAATGTTTACATGAAGCCGTCGAATGACAGGAGAATGCTGTGTGGTGTCAGGCAGGACATATGTAAGCAGCCCTCGTGTCCTCGGTCATTTTTATAACATTTACGGCTATTTTGCCCTTTATTCCCAAATGAATCGTCGAATGTCTGACGTTGTATCCAGATAACCCATGTGCTTGCCATAGGCGACTATCTTGTCGTAAGAGGCGACTGATCGTTGTTTTGATATGTCATCGGTTAATTGCGCAGATCGAGCTGTTGATTGGACGCAGACTCGATTATTTACAGACCGCCGCATATATTGAATATTGCTGAGTGCGGCGTAAAAACTAAACTCATCACTCACTCTCTGGCGTTGTTTTATATGAGAGTTAATTTAGCTTTACGCCGCACTCAGCAATATTACAGTTATATGGCGGCGGTCTGTAAATAATCGAGTTTGAACCAGACAATCCAGTGATCAACAGCCTGAGCATCGACCTGGGATACGATGACACGTGTCAACCAAGTCAGCGAGCCTGACCACCCGATCCCGTCAACCAAGTCAGCGAGCCTGACCACCCGATCCCGTTAGTCGCCTCTTACGACAAGCATTGGTTACTGGAGATCCGTTCTAACCCGGATCTTCAAGGGTCCGTGAAGCCAGAAGATAGGCAGTCATGTCCTGGTGAGTAGGTGTGTATAATTTATCGCCCACTGTTTCAGCTGTACCCGGATCTTCACGGGCCACGTTTTATATGTACTCAACTTAACGAGCAGAGGCTCACGAAATATCAATATTGATGTTAAATGTCAGACAAAGCTACCAGTTGACGAAAACATTCTATTCGGGAAAATTGTTATGTCTGTAGAACTAACACCAAAACCTAATCCGGTAATTTGGACGTACCCCACAACCATGTGTCATTCTTGATTTTGACACGCTCGAGGGAGGTCGATAAATCCTTGTGGTCCATTTTTCTTTTTAGACAGTTCTTAGGAATCTTGTTTATTCTCATACAGTTCTGATATACTTGATAACATTTATTGTTCGTGTATGAACCAGCTCTGCAGTGACTCGGTGATTATGGAACAGGTTCCAAAATCCAAAAGGTTGACTGAACCTGTATAGTGCGTCCCAGGTCAACAAGAGTACAGGAATATATTCCACCTGGCTCAAAGAAATAGAGCTGAAACGGCGCATCAAACTGCTTTAATCATGCTGCTGGTGTTCAGGTTACTAGTCAGACTATTAGAAATCGACTACTTGCATCTGATTTCCATGCCGCTTAGAAATCGTCATATGGCCAACAAAGGTCAATGGTGAAGCGTCTAAACTGACGAAATTGTTGCTGATCACGTGTTATGTTTTCAGGTGATTCACTTTGCTCTTTCTTAATAGTCGTGGTCGTGTAGTCCTGTCTGAACGCCAGGCCAATGTCAACTTGAGGCCTTCAGACAGATTTGACAGTTATGATGTTGGGTGGCATGACTGACTGACAGAACCTGACTCCGTATTGTGCAGTGCAAGTTCAGTGGACATTACCATCGGGATAACTTTTTTTGAGGACGACAACGTCCATGCAATCGCCAAAGCTCACCTACGTACTAAGGAATGCCAAGGCCAGCAATGAGCCGAGACGTGTCCCTCATGTAATAAATGTCTAGGACATGATACGGAGACGTGTGCCTCAACATCATAGGCGATATTGGTCAGGCGCTTCATGAGGAGTAGGTTCGACTCCCTCAACTCGCCACTGGGAGACTCACACGCAGAATATGCCTAATCGAGGGATGTTTAACAAACCCACTTCTGATCTAAAAACGTCAACTTTCTCAACAAATTTTATATCTTACCCTTTTGTCGTTGAAGATACAATCTATTGCTATGCTTCGTTACTGTTTGTAATGTGTTCAATATCACACATTTTTGCTACAAACTAATATCTCTAACCAATTTGGAAGACGTAAGTTAATTCTCCGTACCTCCTACTATACAGCACAGTATATGTTTGATGATTTTGTTCCACATACTGACTATACAATATTTAGATACCATACGGATTTTAGCTGCTGTGATCTAAAATTATTACATCGAATTAAGCTTCACAAGTCAGTAAATGCGCTATGGTGTTGTCGGTTTTCTGATCAGTCACTTGATTGTCTGGTTTGTTTTACAGGCCGACGTCACATGACGGGAGTGCTGTTGGCCTGTGTCAGGAAACAAAGATGCAGCTACCATTTCTGGGGAAGTTTAGGATGCTGGTCCATTTGCATCAACACCAAGTGTCATTTTCAGAGATCGATTCATATTTTGTTATCCCTATTTAGCCTTATGGATAATGGAGACGCTAGGCATATTCAGTGATAATTAGTTTTCAGTCTATTAGTAACTGCGCCGTTGCCGATCACCATCGTTGTTTTGTCTCCTGTTGGTACTACACGCATGTTTGTCTGCTGACAAGAACTAGTTTGTTATCGTCACTGGCTTGTTTTCCACCATGGCGCTGGCATGTGTTACGTTGGCGTTCTATTTACTTGAACTGGGTGGATGTTTCTTCTGAATGACTGAAGTTCTTTATTAACCCAGAAGCATTAAAGTAGTATTAAAGGTACCAGTATCACAGTACCAACCGATTAACCGAGGGTACAGGGTTATAAGACATATAACATTGAGGAACCGTTTGCATGTAGAAACCTAGAATATCGGTGCAGTTGTTTCCAGTGTATCTCACTGAACATTATCATTTCTCTTCCGTGCGGAATGGCATGTTCAGACTTATTGTTTTCATTGTTCGCAAAGCGGCCCATAGCAACGTGATGCCATGTCAACGTGATGCCGTCAATAATTGAAGCTGACGCCAACCATTGTTCTCCGTCACTTAGATTTCACAGTCGGCTTCATGTAACGTTTAACAACAGATTCACTGTGGTGAGGCCTCCACTGATTGAGAAGGTCGCCTTTATTTACATTTTCGAAGAAATGTGGATACTGTGCAGAGTAACCCTTGCAACTCGGCATGACAGTCAGCCTGTACCTCGTCACAAAATGTTGATGCTTAAATTATTACGCTATTCTCCTAAATTGTTATCCCCCGTTCGGTACAGCGAATGTTTTGAGTCTTTTGTAGTGCCAAGCAGAATGTTGCGATCTTGCATTATTATACCAGATCCACACAATATTCGTCTTGTTTTTGTTCAACTTATCCATACAAATACGATTGTTGCGAAATGTCTCATTACAGTAGCTTTAATGAGTGTCTTGGCTCATGAATTTCAAATGAAATATTTATTGTAAACTGTTTGGCACGTATCTTGTCAATACACCTTTCTATACCACTCAGGTTAAATAAATCAGTGTTTTCACAGAAAACACTTTCGACGTCCCCATTCATTTCATCTGAGATCTTTTGTCTAGTGTTCACTCGTGCTCTTTAGACACATCAAGTCAGGGTGCTTAAACGCATACAGCACAAAGATTAAAGTAAACGGCAGTATGAAATATACGTTTGCTAAATATACACACATGCCATGTAGCTAAGTATGAGTGACACTGAAGTACAAAGGTAAACCATTGACGTAAACTGTATAGCGTCATTGCTTGCAGCCAGGTAGGTATTCTTAATAACGAAAAGTTTTCCTAACGTGTCAAAATATAGTGGATCATGGTCATAACGAGAAGAGCAGCTCTTGCAGATATACTAAATAGACTGGCTGGTCATCATTGATAATGAATCCATCTAGATTGATTGTCCATGAATATTCTGGCAAAATGACTATTCTGATTCCAGGTTTTGTTGTTTTCATAAATAATTCTCTCTTATTTGATTTCGTTATACACAAACTTACATTCAATGTTTCTGAATATGCCCATATGCTCAGAAACCAGTGATATAATTGAAAACTTCAAACCGTTGATCCGGTAATGCTTCCACTACGGCTTAAAGATTCTGTAACAATCCATGACAACAAAGGTCCTTTTAATCCAGCATTGTGTTTCATCCAATCGATATCTGGCCATTTTGAAGCTTGTCGGTAAGCCAGTAAGAAAGCGTAAATGGCGTCCATATTGTTGACAATCCCGAGATGGATGCTGAATCAGTTTCCACACAGCACTCAGATGGACAGATGTATGTTATCGACAGTGGGAAAGCACCGTTGCCCATATTAGTAGGATTGTGTTGTGGAAAATGGGATTGATCGGAGGTCATAGAAGCCTTTGTATTAATAAATTGCAATAAAAATACATTTCTCAACAACAACAGTTCTGTATGGGATTAATCCGCCCGACCTTTGTGGCCCTAAACGGTCATGGGGACGACTAATGCTTTCATGTGTTAATAATTTCTTTATGGTTTGATTTTATGTAATCTAACACCAATAGGGCAAATGGTCAAAGAACAATGAGTCCATATTCTTCTATTTATGTCCTATATGATTTCCCACAAAGGCGATCATGGTTACTTTTGCATGTGAGTATATATTTGTGTGCCCTTGGATTCTGCATTTGTTTAGGATGTTTGCAAATATATTGGCACTGTATTACTCACATGCTCAGGCATGTGATTCTTAAACATGCATTGTCAAACAATTTGCCTTTGGATTCTACATTTGTTTAGGATGTTTGCAAATATATCGGCACTGTAATAACTCACATGCTCATGCGTGCTATTCTTAAAAAATCATTGTGGAGCAATTTGCTTTTGGCTTCTACATTTGTTACGATGTTTGCGAATTTACTTGCACTCTTAGACTTGCATGCTCATGTATGTTATTATTAAATGGTTTGTATAACATCCAAAGATTGTCTGTGCGTGTAAAGAGTGAGGCTTACCATAATCCTGTGATCCTGGGGTCGATAACCGGATTCGCTCATATTATGATTCTTCCTTTGATCTCCATTAAATCGGACTTGCCTTCAGTATAGAGCTCAGGAACCGTTGTGCGTTACCTTAAATCCACGTCACTTGCTCAAAGAAATGCAAACAAGCCAAACCAACCTGAGTTTGCTCAGTTAGAGCTAATTTTATTTGTGGAAGACATGCATTTGAACACGCATGCATTAACTTCGGATTCTTTTCTGTACCATAAAGTTAAAATACTGTTTACAAACAAAATATTCACTGTAAACTGTCATTGTCCTTTTGAAAGAGCAGAATGTGTTGTTGCAGGATTTTGGCAATTTGGCGCTGAAGATGGCACCGGTTTGCGTTCTACTTACTGCTTTGAGTTCTCCTTCTTACCGTGTAATGTTCTTTGTTTTACTGTGTCATGTTCTCCGTCTTACTGTGTCATGTTCTCTGTCTGACTGTGTCATGTTCTCCGTCTTACTGTGTCATGTTCTCTGTCTGACTGTGTCATGTTCTCTGTCTGACTGTGTCATGTTCTCTGTCTGACTGTGTCATGTTCTCTTTTCGACTGTGTCATGTTCTCCGTCTGACTGTGTCATGTTCTCTGTCTGACTGTGTCATGTTCTCCTTCTTACTGTGTCATGTTCTCTGTCTTCTTACTGTGTCATGTTCTCCGTCTGACTGTGTCATGTTCTCCGTCTTACTGTGTCATGTTCATGTCTGACTTCTGTCATGTTCTCTGTCTTCATCGACTGTGTCTTCTGTCTTACTGTGTCATGTTCTCTCTGTCTGACTGTCATGTTCTCTTTTCGACTGTGTCATGTTCTCTCTTACTGTGTCATGTTCTGACTGTGTCTGTCTTACTGTGTCATGTTCTCTGTCTTACTGTGTCATGTTCTCTGTCTTACTGTGTCATGTTTCATGTTCTCTGTGTCTGACTGTGTCATGTTCTCTGTCTTACTGTGTCATGTTCTCCTGTCTGACTGTGTCATGTTCTGTCTTACTGTGTCATGTTCTCTGTCTGACTGTGTCATGTTCTCTGTCTTACTGTGTCATGTTCTCCGTCTGACTGTGTCATGTTCTCTGTCTTACTGTGTCATGTTCTCTGTCTGACTGTGTCATGTTCTCTCGTCTGACTTCTTCTTTCTTTACTGTGCCATGTTCTCTGTCTGACTGTGTCATGTTCTCTGTCTGACTGTGTCATGTTCTCTCGTCTGACTGTGTCATGTTCTCTGTCTGACTGTGTCATGTTCTCTGTCTTACTGTGTCATGTTCTCTGTCTGACTGTGTCATGTTCTCTGTCTTACTGTGTCATGTTCTCTGTCTTACTGTGTCATGTTTTCTGTCTGACTGTGTCATGTTCTCCTTCTTACTGTGTCATGTTCTCCGTCATACTGTGTCATGTTCTCCGTCTTTCTGTGTCATGTTCTCTGTCTTACTGTGTCATGTTCTCTGTCTTACTGTGTCATGTTCTCTTTCTGACTGTGCCATGTTCTCTTTCTGACTGTGGCATGTTCTCCTTCTTACTGTCTGGTGTCATGTTCTCTGTCTGACTGTGTCATGTTTTCTGTCTTACTGTGTCATGTTCTCTGTCTCTGACTGTCTGACTGTGTCATGTTCTCCGTCTTACTGTGTCATGTTCTCTTTTTGACTGTGTCATGTTCTCCGTCTGACTGTGTCATGTTCTCTGTCTTACTGTGTCATGTTCTCTGTCTTACTGTGTCATGTTCTCCGTCTGACTGTTCTCTGTCTTACTGTGTCATGTTCTCTGTCTTACTGTGTCATGTTCTCTGTCTTACTGTGTCATGTTCTCTGTCTTACTGTGTCATGTTCTTCTGTGTCATGTTCTCTCCGTCTGACTGTGTCATGTTCGTCTGTGTGATGTTCTCTGTCTTACTGTGTCATGTTCTCTGTCTTACTGTGTCATGTTCTCTGTCTGACTGTGTCATGTTCTCTGTCTTACTGTGTCATGTTCTCTGTCTTGTGTCTGTGTCTGTCTGTTCTCTGTCCTTCTTACTGTGTTCTGTCTTACTTTGTCTTCTTCTTCTGTGTCATGTTCTCCTTCTTACTGTGTCATGTTCTCCTTCTTACTGTGTAATGTTCTCCGTCTGACTGTGTCATGTTCTCTGTCTTACTGTGTCATGTTTTCTGTCTGACTGTGTCATGTTCTCCGTCTGACTGTGTCATGTTCTCTGTCTGACTGTATCATGTTCTTCTTACTCTGTCTTGTTTTCCTTCTTACTGTGTCATGTTCTCCTTCTTACTGTGTCATGTTCTCCTTCTTACTGTGTCATGTTCTCCGTCATAACGTGCGTCAAAGGGACGTTACTCTCAACATCGTATCGTAGCAACAAGCATTGAACTACTAAAACGCCAATTCCAGGCTTAACGTATCTGCACCAAGTCACCCATTAGCTCTAACGTTTACGTTCAATGATTGGAGTTCATCATTTATTCACGATTGATGGAAGTGTTATTGTAGTATACCTGGATATAATACACTCATAGGACTTATCAATCAATACGTAATGACACCACAGTAACATTACTATCAGTGATTTGCACTTGACTTGACAGCGACCTTTCTCTTACATAAACAGCTAGTTAAAATACAATAGAGATATTGCCACACAATAACTACTGAACGTGTTTCGCTGGAGATGTTTCAGCGTCCAAGTGTGTGTTTGCTCGTGTATGTGTGAGCGCGTGCGTGCCTGCGTACGTGTGTATGTAGCTGCGGACTTCTGCTGGTTTTATAGCTCCACCCAACAGGGATACCATGGGTGCCACACTAAGACACATTATACTGCGTCAGAGCTGATTAGTCTTTGTTTTCCAAAACTAATGCCGGGAGCAATTGAGCGTATGAACAAGTACCATATTTCAACGTCTTCCGCTAACAAAGGGATAGGAGTTTGAACCATCGACCTTCAGCCAATCATTTGGAAGACTGAGTCACAAATGGTGGCCAGTGCTACAATGCTCATGTACTATACAAACCATTCGTGGATGCTAATCAACACGTAGTCAAATAGTTCACACATCGCCAGATTCAATGAGCACTTTTTTATTTTCTCCAAAACAAATACATAAACGTTTGCTTAAAGCTGAAATGAGAAATGAAAATAAACATTCGTTGCCACTGCAAATATCTTTGAGAAACGTGCACAAAGCTCACTGATTTGTCAAGCATGTCTTTTGTAAATAGCACTTACTAATACGTACAATATATCCAAGAAAATATATAACAGGTACATCAAATTATCATGAATCATTATGTTTTGTTATAGAGCTGTTGTCACCAACCTCTGGCCCAAAACGTTTGGACGGATCATTTACCAGTGAAGGTTTAAGTCTTCACATATCTCCGGAATTGAAACCGATTTGTAGTAGTCATGTACGGGAAGTTAGATACGATTTACATATGCCTTGGTACAAGAGGAGTAGTGATACAAGAAGCAAAGGGGAGCATTGCCACAACTTTAATTAATACTTACTAGATGTCATTTGTGACAATATAATCGCAGAAATACCGTCACAATCAGAACAACTTCTGTCGTCAAGACATGGAGTGTAGGAAGTGTTTCTCCACATTTATAGAAGTGTGGATTGATGTTTTCTTGCCTTGCGGTTTTGCCAATACGTGTTGATCCACGTGTATCGCTTTGCTCCGATGTAAGGCTTGCACGGCGTGATATAAATGAAATGCTAATGAAGGCAGCGTTAAAGTAATCATTTGTAAGATTGAAGGCGTGTAACAAACGGTAAAACAAAATGAAAAACTCACGGGTAACAACCAACAATAACGCCCCTTGTTATGACATGCACATTGACAACAACGTCAGATCAGTCACCTTTTATATCGTCAACTGGGTTTGCTCCATAACTCTTCTCTGGCTCATTCTCATCTTTGATGAAACCAAAGTTGGTAAACTGCACTCCAGCCGCAGTTTCACTTTCTGTTATGTCACTGATAACATCTTCTTCTGCTTTCCCTTCCTTCTTAGCGTGTTTCCTGAAGATGTCCAACGCTTTCTTCTCCGTCTGAAGCTCGTCACCTTTCGATTCGTCCTCTTCCTTATCACTATTGCCCCTCTTCCGTCTTATTGCCACGATAGTCTTTTTCTTAATGAAACAGAAGCATAGTTTCTCATCAGCAACAACCTGTTCGTCCCCTCCGTCGTCCTTAGTTTTGTTCGCGGATCGCTTGGTCTTGAAGTGCTTTGCAAGAACTGGCATTACCCCATTGGGAGGCATGATGTTGTGTTCAAAGAAGTCTGCACCAACAATCTCTTCCTCTGCTGACACCCTCAGACCGATAACCAGGTCGATGACCTTGAGGATGATAACGGACATCATTGCTGACCAGAGGATGATTGTTACGACAGCGAGAGTCTGGACGCCGAGGAGGTACCATCCTCCACCCTGTAATAATGAGAGCACTGGACATTGAAACTATCATTAAATCATCATGGCAATATTTTACATATCAACTGTACGAGTGAAATTAACAAAATAATGATACAGTTAACAATTACTAATACAAATTAAAACAAAAATGCTCTAATTTAATGAATACATTTATATTGCATCATCATATATCACATATCTTTTTCTGCCCAGCGAGGGCGTTGGGGAAGCATAGTGGTTAAAACGTTCGCTCGTTACGCCGAAGACCGGGTTCGATTCCCCGCATGGGTAATGTGTGAAGCCCATTTCTGGTGTCCCCACCACCGTGATATTGGTGAAATATTGCTAAAAAGCGGCGTAAAACTAAACTCACTCACTGCCCAGCGCACGGAACTTGTTGAGTAACCCCTCGCTGAATGGTTATTTGACGGCGCTTGCTTTATGTAGTGTGCGACATGCCAACAGTTTAGTTTATACACATGCAGTAATGGCCAGAAGTGGCAGCATTGATTATTGCATTGAAGAGCGACTAACGGTTGAAGCGTCGCCCATCTCATTGAATGTCCGTGTTCGATTCCCAACATGTACAAATTCCTGTGTACCCATAATATTTGATTAAAGGCATATATTAAATGAAGTAGTTTTGGCGTTGATCTTTGCAGTTGGGATACGATGACATGTGTCAACCAAGTCAGTGAGTCTGACCACCCGATCCCGTTAGTCACATCTAACGAATAGCATGGGTTGCTGAAGCCCAATTCTAACCCGGATCTTCACGGGTCTTAAATGATGAGGATAGTGGCGACTTACCCAAAGTAGACCATGGTTAAAGTTGAACTCCCCTTGAATCTGATCTTTCTGAGCAAAGATACCACAACAAAGAAGACCCCAGATAGAACAAAACAGGTGTACAGAGCTGGCCCCGACTGGGTCATCAATCTTCAGCTTGAACAACATAAGGTCACTCAAGGCAGCGATAATAGCTCCAACGGACCCTATTATTACGGCTGCCCACGTTGTTGTCACTGCGCAGATTGCTTCAAAAGAACATAATATTTTTTCGTGAGGCAGAACAGAAAAGTATATTACCTTAATGAGAAACTGGTTTATTTTAGGTGAACATAAGAATCAATGTATAAATAATACCTTTTTGCTTCATGCACTATAATGTAACGGTACTATCGGGGCGGATAATTGAAAAGTTATCCTTCGTTGCCAGACTATGAAGAAAATTGCCAGGTAAAGCAAAGTTTTTATTACATTGAGTAATGGACGCCGTTGAGTGGTCTGCCCCTGCAGGAGAACAATGCTATTTTTATGTAAAATAAGTGGATGACATTGTCTGTTAAGATATTGTCTCAAACGAAAGCTTGGTGACCAAACTTAATGTGAATTTATAGTCCTTTTCTGTAAAAACTACAAGAAACGGAAATCATTTCTTGAACACCAATTATGTTGCATATATGTCGCCGGTGCAGTGGTGAAATTCATAATGTGGCATGCATGGACGGCCAATCGAATATATAAACAACGTATTGATAACAATTCAAACGGAGGCTCTACTAATTCCTAATATATTCCAAGGATAATTTCAAATTATAACAAATTATCGCTGTGATGTTTCTGTCATACTTCTGGATGAACATGCTACTTTAGGCTACTTAGAAGCAGTAGAAATACACATCAAACACCAAACACCAAACACCCAGGATAATTAAACCAAATTGCGGTAAAAGAATTAATTAATACATACCGCTGACAGATACCAGAGAACCAAGAATTCCATTAACAATGAGGGGAATGATGTATTTTCTCTTGTGAAATATATAGCTGAAATATACAACAGAAACAAAAAAACATTAACTGATTGGAAAGGTAGTTTCTACAATATCATACAAATAGAAAATTCAGAGTAATTTCTTATATCTTATACTTACCTGCTTCACAACTAATGCATTTTCCTTCTAGTTCACTAGAAGTTTACTTTATGTTCTACTGAATATCAAGTGTTATCACTTGTAGTATCTGTCTGTGTGTGCACATCATCATTTCTTTGAAATGTAACTAGCCAGAAGTTGCCCTAGTAAGCGGGGAGGCACGGTAGGGCCATATTTACTTGTGAAGCAGGTGAGTATAAAAGATAAGAAATTACTCTGAATTTTTTATTCTTTTAACTTACTCTGCTTCACAACTAATGTATGTTAATGCCGCAGCTCGGAGGTGGGAACTGATGATATAATGCACAGTACAAAACTCACACGACCTCTGAATAAAATGAAGCATGTCAAATTACAGATACACCACGCTACCAGCTACAGAACAGCGCCACAGCAGGCAACCTTAGACGCTGGGCTGTCAGCGCAACGTGAATCACAGACTGCGTGAACAAACACAGAGAGTAGGGATGGTATAGGCTCAAGTTTAGGCATACCGATCCCCAGAGTAAGGTGAACGACAAACACTGATACTAGGAAGCGTCAAGACTGGCGAGACTTTGCAATCCGACCAGTGTGCTGAGAAAAAGCTAGGGGACCTAGGGAGGACAGAAAATCCAGATCCTGAGCCGCAATATCCCGAAGGTAGTGGTTGGCAAAGGTGGTGTCTCTAGTCCAGAAACAGCCTCGCATGATGTCCAACACAGAGACATTAGCATGCAAGGCCATGGTCGCCGCAACAGCCCGAACCTCATGAGGGTTGGAGCGAAATGGCGGCGGAAGTCCAGCTTTCTTATGAGCCCTCAAAATACAGGATCGGATTCAATACCTGTGGCATAAATGGCGTGAATCTCAGATGATCGAGCCACCGCTGCTAAGGCCACCAGGGACAACGAGTTCATCGGAAGATGAAGGAGAGTAGCATCTTCCAGTAGTTCGAATGGTTCACCTGCCAAGTAGGTGAGAACCACTGATAACTGCCAAGATAGGGGCCGAAAGCCCCATCTTCCTGACGGGACTTGTTGAGGATAGCTGAAGCTCAGGGGCCCTTGTAAGAGAGGCGCCAGCTTTAGACATCACAGAACCGACAGCAGGGAGATAAGTGATGATCGTTGTGGCTTTGAAATTCGCTTCTTCCGGAGGAAAAGGAGGCAGTCTGCAACCTGAGCAACCGAAGACTGACAGTACGTCAAAAATGAAACACACTGCTTGTCATAGAGCGCTCTAGTGGAGATCAGATACGCCATGGAAATAACTGAAGCCGCACCTTGGGAGAAGTCTCCTCGTGTGCTGGCTCCACAGAAGATCCACCCGATCCGGCAGAGGTAGAGGTGAACCGCTTGTCAGTTCTGTTAGTGCCACAAACCATTGGCGTGGAGGCCAGAGTGGCGCTATCAGACGCAGACGAAGGAGATTGGTGGACTGAACCTTCTCCATTGCTTTTAGCATGAGGCCTGGGGGAGGAAAGGCGTACGCATCCAACCCTTCCCAGCTGCCTGTAAAAGCGTCCAGATCCCACGCCAGAGGGTCCGGGACTGGAGAGATGAACGTCTCTAGCTGTATTTTGTGCCTTGTGGTGAACAGATCTATGAAGGGTCGACCCCAGAGATCGGCTATCTGGCGAAAGACGGCTGGATGCAGCATCCACTCCGTTGGTGGAGGAAGACCTGGTCGAGAGAGGTCGTCTGCCAGAAATTTGGTTACACCTGGAATGTGACGTGCTTTCAGTTGAATTCTGAACTCGTCCTCGATAGTGAATAGATGGAATGTCAGGGTAAATAGAGATTGATCCCTGTTGATGAATGCTGCGACTGTCGAATTCGACCATCACTTGCTTGTCTGACAAATGAAGTTTCCAACGATCGAATGCTAGGATCACTGCCAGAAACTCAAGGTTGTTGATGTGAAGATCTTGTTGTTATTCCGACCACAACCCGGCTGATGTCTCCCCATCCAAATGAGCGCCCCACCCTTGGAAGGACGCGTCCACGGAAAAATGCTGAGTAGCCTGGAATGGTAACAGGGAGACGCTTCTTAGGACATTTGATTGTTGGAGCCACTTTTCTAAGTACTGGTGGAGACTGCGGGGACAAGGGATCTGGATAAAAACGCCCCACGGAGTCAGAAACCTCTGAAGAGGTTTGTGCATCAGGCGTCCTCGGGATGTCAGATCCTGAGTGGAAGTGAGAAGACCTAATAGGCCTCAACCTGAGGGAGGTGCGAAGCTCCTGCTGGATCAGGGGTTGGTAGCTGTGAAGACCTCACTTGGGGAACTACCAGACGACAGAGGTCCGTCCAGAAGTGACAATCCTATGAAGACCCGTGACTGACACGGGGTGAGGTCCGACTTGTTCAAGTTGACGAGCCGTCCCAGTCGATGAAAAGGACTAATGACGAAGTCTCCCTGTTTGACAAGCAGCCGTGAACAAAGTTGCATCATGTATCCGTCATTTAGGTACATCGACCTCGTGCAGATAGCGTCACCCTGGAAAATAGATGCGGGGCCATACAGATTCCAAACGGCATCACCTTCCACTGATAGTGGCGTCCTTGAAAAATTAATCTCAAGAACTTGCGATATAGTGGGAAGATCGGAATGTTCAGGTATGCATCCTGAAGATCTAAGGAGATCATGAAGTCGCCTTTCTGCGCCAAAATTCTCTGCTGAGGCAGCGTGAGAAACCAGAAGTATGGCGGATCGTCCACATACTTTTTGCTGAAGACCTTTAAGTTTGGGATGACCCTCAGCTTGCTTGAATTCCTCTTGGGAATGAAGGAGATTGGACTGTAAAACCCAGGAGTGATGTCGTCGGGACTTATGACTTGGATGGTGTCCTTGTCCAGAAGCAACTGAAGTTGTGACACAGCCTGAAGCTGCTTGTCTGGTGCTAGGGGTCCCTCTATTGGGCGAGTGGTCAACGGTGGAGACGCCTTGAGCGGAAGCTGGTACCCTCAATCTAAAATGGAGAAGATGAAGAGGTCATCTAAAATCTGACGTCATTTGGGTAGGAATGTCGACAGACGACCGCCCAAAGGTTAAGAAACGAATGCGTTGGGGTCTATGGCTGGGGTGGGAAGTGATGGAGACACCCATGCCACGTCACTGTTTCCTGTGTCCACGCCCCCTGCCACGGGTCTTGGACAGGATCTTGGGAGAATTTGTCAGGCTTCTTCCCCATTGGCTTGCCAGATATGATCCTGGAGGGATGAAAACTAGGCCTCTTATGAGTCGCTGACACCACGCCCTTTCGAGAAAGATTTTCAACTGCCTTGGTCATGAGCTTGATCCGCTGCACCTGTTCGTACTTGGACCTGACATCTGCAATTCCCCCGGTGGAAATCTGAAGCTGGGGATGCGCGGAAAAGTTCTGTCTTCAGATGATCAGGAAGCTCTGCATCCTCCAGAAAACCAGATCTACCAGATGATCCGAAAAAGCGCCGAGACAGACGGACGACCACCGGGAAGAGGCATACACTCATCATGTACGGGCCAAGAGAATCGATGCGGTTAAGTTCTCCTGTGCTGCTGACATCTGAGCACAATGCTCGCTAATTCTCAATAATTGTAAGTAATAAGGGGCTTGTTCAGGTAAGTCCGATTCCACCAGAACTGAAGCAAGGGCATTGCAGGTGTGCATTATCATGTCGGAGAGACCCACCATGGCTCGGATTTCCGCGTCCCACTTAACCAGCAGGGAGTCTGGAATCTTGTGCTCGAACCCGCCACATTCACTAGGTCTTTGATGTCGGAGTCCGGATTGGGGGGCACGACCTGTAAGGGAGGGTCGGCAATGGGAATTCTCCTCCTGGCCTGAGCTGTCATTGAAGGAGCGAAACCAGAATGAGGAAAAGTCACAACCTTCTTCTCCACAGTCGCTGTAAAGTCCACTGACCTCCTAGATCCTATGAGGGGGTAGCGCAAGTCTACCACCCATGGAAAATTCTCTAATCCGGGGATCAGCATTATAGGTTTGTTGCAAGGTCTTCTCCAAAGCTCTAAGTGTGACTGGCTCCAGTAAATCAGCAATGATCTGAATCTCCTCTGAAGATGAAACAAGGGGAGAAGAATCCAGATCCTCATTACCAGAAGCATGATCCGGAGAGGCGCCACGCCACGCCGAGACAGACGGACGACCACCGGAAAGAGGCATACAATCATGGCTCCAAGGAGATGATGGGAGACGAGGAAGAGCCAGCAGTCGAAGCCTGAAGACAAGGTTTAGGTGGCGCCGACAAGGAAGACACCCGCGCTTTGGTGGTGTCCAGCTGCCTCTGAAAACCTCGTAAACCGTCTATCCAACCGGGCCTCGACATCTTTAAAAACATCTCTCAAAGTCTGGAATACCACTGCTGGCGACCTGGGAAGTGGCGATCGGTGACAGATGACGTATGGCGCTGGATGAACGGCGCTACGATGTCTGGCAGCAGAGGTCGTTCTTCTCACAGATCAGAAGGTTGGTGCAGGTCTGGCGCCAGGCATCGTATTGCCGTTCATCCACCGCCAGTCCTACGCCACCCTTCTGATATGTGCGGAGAACGAACTCTACTCCTTGACCAGAGTAGTCCCGTCCTGACGACCTGCTCTCCACAAAAGGTGATTCTGAACGACGGTCAGCAAATGACTGGCTTGACTGGCGCCGATCCAAAGTCTGGCGCTTGTCGGACTCCTGGCGCTGATCTGAAGTACTATTTGCAGATGGTCAGTAAAATTCCGTAGATCGTGGAATAATACTGTTCTCAACTTCTTTATTTGTTTACATATACCAGTTTATGATCTGAATGATATTATTACTGAAGAGTTTAACTTGTCTAACATTTGTCTGTTATCCTTAGACCATTCTGATTGGTTGTATGGGCTCTGGAACGATACGGGTCAGGTAAATGGTAATAAGTTACGTACATACAGACTGTTTAAAGATTCTTTATCAGTAGAACCCTATGTCAGTTTATTGATAAGCAGAGGTCAGCGCAGTATATTAAGTAAGTTTCGTTGCGGCTCACTGCCATTAGCAATAGAACTAGGGAGATTTACCCGCTCCAAAACCCCGCATATTGAACGAATTTGTAAATTTTGTAAATGCAATGTCGTTGAGGATGAAATACACTTTTTGCTGAATGTTCTCTCTATACAGATATACGCTATGATTTATGGAACTTAGCTTCCCAATCAACTCCGAACTTCATACAGATCACCGCTGCCGACCAGACTGTGTTCTTTATGCGGAATGATAAGTTTGTTAGACCCCTAGCCGCGCTACTATATCACATGTATCAGCGAAGACAACTGTGTCTTTCGTCTCTACCAACCTAATTAACATTAAATTTCTGCTCAGTATCAGGATGTTCTCCCCCAAACTATAGATCTTGCACTTGATAACTTTCATATTATGTATATGTATGATCTGTGATATTTCTCTTTTTTATTTATATGTATGTGGCGTCCTGCGTATCCCATAGGCTATATTGGCCGGGCACTGTATATTATATTTATGTATTTTCATTGTCATTGTTTAACAGTGTGTGACACGGAAATAAAATAATTTTCTTCTTCTTCATTTCTTCTCTATGGGTTGGCGCTGATCCGACGACTGGCGCCGATCCCAAGCCTGGTGCTGGTCTGACGACTGGCGCCGATCCCAAGCCTGGCGCTGGTCTGACGACTGGCGCCGATCCCAAGCCTGGCGTTGATCTGAAGGCTGGCGCCGATCCCAAGCCTGGCGCTGGTCTGACGACTGGCGCTGATCTGAAGGCGTGCGTCTAGACTGTTGTTGCTGGCGTTTCTTGACCACCCTGAGGTAAGCTGTAAACTCCTGCTCCGTAAGGTGATCGCATTCAGGGCACTTATCCTCCTTCGTGGACGTCCTGTCCGAGCAGTCGGGACACCAGCCACGTGGATCCTTTCTACTCTTAGGGAGATGTCAGCTATCACACTTGGTGGTAAACACCGACAGTGTCTCCGACTCTGAAGGCTCAAGCAATAGGTCCGCCATCTTGACTAAGCGCCCAGCGCTGGTCTGACGACTGGTAGAACAAACCGATCAAATAAACGCCATGACAGAAAACACGAAATCAATACCAAACTACTTGCATACATGTTGTGTAACAATCAAAGAATGAAACACAACCTCAATGACAAAATAGGCCTTGAAAGGGTAAACACTGAAATAATATCAGAGACAATCGTAAATACAACCTCTCAGAGAAAAGCTTTGAAGGAATGATGAGTTTCCGGTCATGCACAGTGCACACAAATAACACTTGTAATTCACTGGAACATAAGGTAGGCTTGTAGTGAACTAGAAGGAAAATGCATTAGTTGTAAAGCAGAGTAAAATAAAAGAATATTTATAGTTTTGACATAAACTGTTGCTACAAAATAATTAATATGTTGAATGTTTAAAATGTAATAAAATTGTCATGTTACCTGATGATAAACGCCGTTATTCCACCGCCACATGACGCTAGAATTGTTGTCGCTGCGGCTCTTTAAATATAAAAAAACAACAACAAAATCATATTTCAATAACATGAGTCACTCTGAGTGAGCGAACGCAATTTTTCACTGCATTCTGAAGTATCACGACCCGTGAAGATGCGGGTTCGAATTGATCTTCAGTTACCCATGTTTGTTGTAAGAGGCGACTAACGGGATCGGGGTGGTCAGGCTAGCTGACTTGGTTGACACATGTCATCGTATCACAATTGCGTAGACTGATGCTCATGCTGTTGATCACTGGATTGTCTGGTCCAGACTCGATTATTTACAGACCGCAGCCATGTAACTGTAATATTGCTGAGTGCGGCATAAAACTAAACTAACTCACTCACTCACTCACTCACTGTAGTATCACAGCTGCAGCGTATATAGGTGGCCACTGACATCCGTCAGCAACGATCCAATCCATCGGGTCTATAACACTCAGTCGTTACGACTACACATTCCCAATACCCGACAACAATCAGTGAGTGAGATAAGTTTTAGCAATATTCCAGCAATATCATGGCGGGTGACACCAGAAATAGGCTTCACACATTGTATCCATGTGGGAAATCGAACCCGGGGTCTTCGTCGTGACGAACGAACGCTTTAACCACTAGGCTACCCCACCGCCCCGACAACAATCAATAAATCAACAGTATTACTGCTTCATTTATAATTCTACACTACGAAAAAAAGAATGGCAGTGGAAAACCGGTAAAACTAATTCAGCTGCATTTCAAGATAAGAATAGAAGCTTTCTACTATTAAATTGTTTGAGGAATTAAATTAATTTTATTTTTTTCGTACAGTCGACCGATAGAAGTAATACTTTGCTTTTATATAATAATAAAGGATGCGACAGACATCTAGTAATTCTTAATCAAATTTGAGGCTTGTAATGGTATTATTGTTAGAATTTTCAAAGACTTGTTTCAAATGTAACACATGTATAATAATGACATGTATTCTAATCGGTATTTCCCTTGGGGTAGCTCTCCAAAATGCAACATCCTTGAAAATATATGACCATGTTCAAAAGTTCTTTTGAAAGCATAATTTCAGTCAGTCGCAAAGGCTAAGCCTATGGCAGTTCAATGGACAGTTGTATACTTAATTCAAGATGCCAGATCAGGTTCGGGAACTCGGTTGATGCACATCAGTATATTATCCTATTGTGTGGACCATGGTAATAATGCCAATCATGTGATTGAATGGATCATATACTGACAGCCGTCGTGTAGCTTAAATATTACATAGTGCGACGTCAAACAACAAACAAACAAACAAACAAACAACTAGGACGCCGGATCGATGGGCTGCTGTAAAGTATATAATGAACTTCAATGAACTAACCATGACCTAAACTCACGAAGTAGTGAGTGAGTGAGTTTGGTTTTACGCCGCACTCAGCAATGTTCCAGCTATATGGCGGCCGTCTGTAAATAATCGAGTCTTGGCCAGACAATCCAGTGATCAACAGCATGAACATCGATCTGCGCAATTGGGAACCGATGACATGTGTCAACCAAGTCAGCGAGCCCGACCACCCGATCCCGTTAGTCGCCTTTTACGACAAGCATGGGTTACAGAAGGATCATTCTAACCCGGACCTTCACGGGTCCTCACCAAGTAGAAATTCAGAAATGTTATTGTTACGATGTATTATTACGTACTATTACGAAACGCATCATGTAAAATATACATCACGGATGTTGCAGTGAATCATGATTCAGAGTACCTGGTAGCAAGTTTCCATTTGCCTCCGCTTATTCCAAATGTGCTTCCACAATTGAAACCCAGCCAGCCCCACCTGAAAATTAAAGTCCGGTTGAAAATATTTCCCAACGATTCTGACAAACATTCATTATCACAGTCATACTGATTCCATAAAATGATTAAATCAAAAATACTTTAACAGTTTAAACTTTTAACAAAACTAATGTTAATCATATTTATTTAAAATCTACCATTCCACTGGGGCACATGTGATGAAGAAACACCCACCAGAGCATGAAAAGTCCCAAGAGAGTATTTACAGGGTTGGAAGAAGGTATGTGCTGGTAGATCCTACTGTCCTTCTTGAAACGTCCTTTTCTGGGTTTCAGCATAATTGCTGCAATGAGTGCAGTCACTCCCCCAACAAGGTGGACCGGCCCCACTCCAGCCACATCAACAACGTAAAGCTTCTTCAGCCAGCCCTCGTCCGCCCACACCCAGTGAGCGGGGAACGAGTAAACGAAAGTGTTTAAGAGAGAGAAGACGATGTATGCCATCAGTTTGGTCCGTTCAGCCATTGCACCTGAATAATGGAGCAAATGGTGATATTATATAACCTGTTGTTATGATCAAAGAATTCTATGATCACATTATCATATGCACCTTTTGATTCAAGTGTGAAAGTTTGTAGCGATAACTAACCATGTAATACTTGATGTTGTCAATATCTAAAAAATACCCAACTGACTTGTCCAGTGGGTTGAATTCATTCCGACACCCAACTCTTTTAAGAGCACCAGTCCCGTTTAGAAGATATCATCAGTAACCAATCCTTGTCGTGGGTAACTCGATTAATGTTTGCCACTGTATCCCAGATGCGTAAATCGATGATCATGATGACAATCACAGGATTGCCTGGTACAGACTTGATTATTTATAGGACGGGGTCATATAGCGGGGGTTGTGCGGCATTTAACAAAACACAAACCTGATACGATCGTTGTTGCTGTTGTTGCAAAGGAGGCTTGAAACACGAATTTGGAGTAGATGTTACCAATGTTTTCTCCGTCTGCAATCAAAACGATTGAAAAATTGTCAGATGCATGTTGTAACCAATTCAGTCAATTGGTACTGAACTTTGAAGCCATGTAGGAATGTACTTCAGGATGGATCTGTGTCACATCATGACAACTGTCAAAGGACACAATCAGTGCTATAAAACACACAAAGTCATCTTGGTGGACACATTAAGGAAGAGTGTGTATCGACAGGTAAAGAAATATTTTACAGGTACGTTCATTTCAGCTTTCACAAGACGTCTCAAGAGAGCGCCTATCCGCTAACAAAAATATGTCAACTACAATGTTAACACAGTGACTGATTGGGTCGATTATATGTAATTTGCATGTAAAATACCTTGAAGTGTTGAGTTTAGCTCACCTGGATTAAGAAAGAAGTATCCCACACCAGTGAAACCGTTGGCCCCTGCATCCCCACCAAACGTCAAGCCGTACCCCAGGGACCAGTAGGTGATCCCACCAAACACAACATCCACTACGTTCTTCAACATGATGTTAACTTCGTTCTTCCTACTCGCCATTCCGCTCTCCAGCAAGCCAAAACCTACAATATAACTCACATACGTCATAATATTATTCAATGAAAAAGCCCACTGCAATACACCGCAACCCACAGCAAGGAAGTTCCAGGTAAGGTTTTGCACCATTTTTATCAATGTTTCCGGTATGTCAAAGCAAGAGGACACAACGAACTGACTTAGCATTATACCAATATGAGGACGAAGCTGAGTCTTTTGGTTTAGAACAACAACTGTTCCACTGGTCTGCCACATGCATTAAATGGAAGCCACAAAGCCTTTCACCGCAATCGTAACATTTAGAAGAGTTGATGGAGAATTATTCTCTATATATTCAGGGGTGTTCTTAAATTAAACAGCGTAGTACATGTTTGGTTTAACGTGAAAATAAGCTCCCTAATACCTTTCCAAATTATATTCGGAATACAAAATTCATTTCATATCACAATTAGCGACTTAACCTGTGTCTACCATGGAGGAAGACTAGTTTAACTTGAATACATATTTCATCTGGACTTGGTAATTTTATGTTTAAATTTTAAAGTGTTCATATATTGCTTGCGTACATAAAGTTACTGAAGTATATCAATATATAATATTTCATTTTATTGTTTTTATGTATACTTCTACTGACAACGATGAAATTGTGTTCCCTTTCTAGTTATTTCTGTGGCATATGAAACATGAACGCAAGTAAACAACCAGTGTTGACCATCCGTCGTATTGATTCGACTTGGCGCAGTATTTAAAATAGCTCTGAGAATTTTATGAATACCAGGAGTTAGGAAACTGAACTGACTCCAGACATTTGACACATATTTCATCTCCTTCCGTGTATTTTTGCATCTGTGTCAACACATATTACCTTATTTAATAAACGTATTGGCTGCTTATTAGACACAAAGTACAAATAAATACAATACAAAAGGTTTTCATAATACATATGTAGTCTCTCCGTGGGGAACATCATTTAATACAGACTAATCCTGATAGCCAAATTATTTAGATGGATGGATACACTGTCGCCGGGCGCTTTCTTCTTGATTCAAGCGTAAAATACCTAGCGGTACCATGCATTGTTTGACGCATTACCAGACCATTAATAAATCAGTATCGTGGATCAGGCTACCAAGTTGTGTTCTTGATGCCGTGTGTTCATAAGATAGCCAGTATAGACAAATGGATGTGATGTGATGTGTGCGTGAGTGTGTGTGTTTGAGTGAGTGTGTGCATGCGTGCGGGATGTAGCTGTCGTTGAAGATTTGATCTTCAGAGACACACCGTCTTTAATCGTCAACGTGAAACTGCAGTATTATCGGTTGCGCAGGACAATGGATAACCACGTGAAGTGCCGCAGTACCGTAACCTGTAAAATGGCAGTTGTAGGAATTTCACAGAACTTGACACAACGACAAATGTAAGTCTAAGCGCCTAACATCCACAACACGGCAATTGTAGGAGGTTCAGATAATACTGGGGCACAGCGGCAAAACGTTTACTGACTCAGCACCTTGCTACTTTAACGTAACAATTGTAGGAGGTTCAGATATTACTTGGGCACAGCCGCAACACATTTACTGACTCAGCACCTTGCTACTTTAACGTGACAATTGTAGGAGGTTCAGATAATACTGGGGCACAGCTGCAAAACGTTTACTGACTTAGCACCTTGCTACTTTAACGTAACAATTGTAGGAGGTTCAGATTACACTGGGGCACAGCGGCAAAACGTTTACTGACTTAGCACCTTGCTACTTTAACGTGACAGTTGTAGGAGGTTCAGGTAACACTGGGGCACAGTGGCAAAACATTTACTGACTCAGCACCTTGCTACTTTAACGTAACAATTGTAGGAGGTTCAGATAATACTGGGGCACAGCTGCAAAACGTTTACTGACTTAGCACCTTGCTACTTTAACGTGACAATTGTAGGAGGTTCAGATAATACTGGGGCACAGCTGCAAAACGTTTACTGACTTAGCACCTTGCTACTTTAAAGTGACAATTGTAGGAACTTCAGATAATACTGGGGCACAGCGGCAAAACGTTTACTGACTCAGCACCTTGCTACTTTAACGTAACAATTGTAGGAGGTTCAGATAATACTGGGGCACAGCGGCAAAACGTTTACTGACTTAGCACCTTGCTACTTTAACGTGACAGTTGTAGGAGGTTCAGGTAACACTGGGGCACAGCGGCAAAACGTTTACTGACTTAGCACCTTGCTACTTTAACGTGACAGTTGTAGGAGGTTCAGGTAACACTGGGGCACAGCTGCAAACCATTTACTGACTCAGCACCTTGCTACTTTAAAGTGACAATTGTAGGAACTTCAGATAATACTGGGGCACAGCGGCAAAACGTTTACTGACTTAGCACCTTGCTACTTTAACGTAACAATTGTAGGAGGTTCAGATAATACTGGGGCAAAGCGGCAAACCATTTACTGACTCATCACCTTGCTACTTTAACGTGACAATTGCAGGTAGTTCTGGGATCACTATGACAACAGCAAAATCTTGTAATGCAATTAAACGGGATGTTCCCATTTCGTCTACCTCCCATTTCGCCTACAGTAATTGAGGATGGCAACTCATCCACCCCTCATTCAGTGAATGGGATGGCCCGCATTTCCTGCTCAGTGTCGTCAAAAGAATATGTTCAATGTTTTAATTTTGTTATTTTATTAATTAAAGTGGTTTGTTGCTTAATAATGCAAATTACTGTAATAGGTTTGAGATCAAAGTCACTTTATATCTATGTTGATAAGATTTGTTGTTTTAATAAAGCCTTAATAAAGTGGCTACTCTCAGGCTTCCTGCTCAATGTGCAAATTTGTTATGTTCTCTTCTCATAGTGTACTGTTGTTTTAATGTACAGTATATAAGGGATGTGAAATGTTGTTTGTGATGTCAAAATGGCAAACGCATTTCTTCAGAGAGTAGAATTTATTACGACACAGAGAGGTGGGCAGCAAGTTCTATATGATAGATATCGCCAGCGACTGAATGTGAAACGTCAGGTGGCAACACACTGGAAGTGTGTTCAGACAGGATGCAAGGCACGTTGCGTCTGACCCTGACCACTGCCATCCCACAGAGAATGAAGATCATACGCGTCTTCTAAGCCGACTCCGTGAACGTGTGCAGACCGACATCACTCCAGTTCAGCAGATCTACGATGATGAGCTGAATGCAGCTGAAGACGTGAACGCAGCAACCATGCCATCCTTCAACAGCTTGAAGTCCGGACTGTATCGACAGCGAAGCAAGTGTATTCCACCTCTTCCTCAGTCTCGAGCGAAGGTTGATCTGCAAGAACCTTGGACTCAGACCCTAAATGGCGACCAGTTCCTGTGCATCGACGACGGTGTTGACGACAAGCTGCTCGTATTTGCTACAACTGATATGCTAGATATTCTGAGTGAGGCAGAGACCCTGTACATGGATGGTAGTTTATCCACATGTCCCAGTTTGTGGGCGCAGGTTTACGTTGTGCATTGTATGGTGGACGAGAAAATGTACCCTGTTGCATTTTCTTTGCTGCCAAATAAAACCAAACAGACTTATGTGAGACTTTTTACTCTGTTCAAGAACACCGCTGAGACCGTTACCGGTACGGTACCATCGCCAGAAGTAATCCAGACTGATTTTGAAGCTGCCGTCATTAGTGCCATTGCAGAAGTGTTCCCTGAGTCGTCGACCCGTGGATGCTACTTCCATTACTGTCAGGCCCTTTGGCGTCATGTTGTTGACTATGTCCTGGCCCTCGATTACAAGGACGAGAACCTACCAGTCAGCTCACATGTGAACAGAGTTGATGCCTTGCCCTTGCTGCCTATTGGTGAAATCCACGATGCCTGGATGGCTGTAATGGATGCAGGACCCAACACTCCATCCATCCAGCGTTTCAATGACTACGTCACAGTCAACTGGGTAGAATACGACGCACGCTTTCTAAGAGAGATATGGAACCAACATGAAACTATTGGCCCGAGAACTAACAACCACTTGGAAGGCTTCCATCTGGGACTAAAGAAGAGGTTGAAGAAGTCCCATCCTAACCTCTATGAATTTGTCAAGGAAATCAAGAAGATTGAGTCAGCTGACCGACGACTTCGCTTGAAGATAGACCATGGTGCTGGAGTCCGCTCACGTCCTCGCAAGTACAAGGAACTGGACGCTAGACTGACTCGCTTGAAGGACCAGTTAGCAACTGGAAGAAAGACAGTGCTGCAGTTTCTGGACGCAGCTGGACATTTAATTAAACTGCAAATACATTAGATTTGTTGAGAACAATGATATGAACTTGATATCTTCGATGACTTGATATATAACTTGATATATTTGTTCTTATGTGATTTGATATAGCTCGATATGTTCAAGTTTATGATTATATTATTTGATATATATTTGAGTTATTAAAATATATATACTATTTAAATGGTCAAACCAACTCAACCCGACTCACAATGTTTCTAATTATTTGGGTTAGTCCATTAAACTACAGTGAACAGCATACAAATTCTTATTTTCACTCAAAGTGTAAATTTGTTTTGATAAGAGTGTAGGCGAAATGGGATGTAGGCGAAATGGGAAGAATCCAATTAAACCTGTGTAAACAATATGTAAGCCGGGATAAATTCGACGCATGCTCTGATGATGTTTGATGCATATAGTAACTCATACGTGCTACGGCGAAACGGGTATATGCTGGGGAAATCTGGTAAAATCATCTGTCGGAGCTAAATTGGCAAAAACATGCAATCCGTAGTACGGGTGTGTTATCTTATAGAGCACGTGTATATTGAAATTATAAAGATTACATCATCCTTAGCAACTTTATTATCATAATGGTATTATTGAAATTATACTATGGAACTTCTTTCTGAGCAGTTGATGGGTGGAGAAATTGCAGCGTGTTTGTGATCACCTAACGTTCACTGCAGTCATGGGTTCCTCTGTGTGATCTTGCGGGGGACATTAAAATCCTTCGCGGTCCATTTCACGCGAAACATCCATGTAATACTTAAACCAGCTAAACAGCTACCGCTTTGATGGTACTGGGCAATAATATTTCTAAAACAGTGCTTGTTAGATGGCGCTAGATAGAGCGAGCCTGGTGACCTGGTTGACTGCATGCCATCCTACTCCGATACCAGTCACTGCATTGTCTGGTCTGGATTTTATTGTTGAATGCCGCGTTTAACAAATATACCATTGAATGATAGACACACGTAATACGTAAAGCGGCTATGACATCAAACCTACATGTTGTGCAGTTTTCCTGTGATCTCGATGTTTTGTTTGATCAGCTGAATACAAGGGTACACATGAATAATTGCTTTGACTGTTATCAGTCAGTTTTATATTGCTGACAGAATATCTAAGGTGTATAAACGAGATCAAAGGACATCCACTTAAACAGTTAACGTAATTTGTTAATGTCTCCAGGTCCCCTCTTTATGATGTTTATTTTATTCCGTGTCGCAGTTATCAGTTGAACTGAGGCACTACACAAATATTGTTTTGGTATAAAATATCAATGCATGTAACATTTAATCTAAATGGAAATAGGAATATAAGGCAAACAATAATTTAAATATAAATATTTGATGCAACAGTTTCCCGTGAAATGTTTACATACACTTGACAACTGTGTATGCCATGATATAAGGATAATACCAAAAAAACATAATCAATAGCATTAAAAATTTTCAATTTCTCTTCAAATGTATTGACACGAATGACATATGTCAGTCGATATTGTTGTATATTATAGCAACGCAAAATGAGGATAATCGGATCAAATGTCTTACTGAAAATACGGTTATATTTAATAATATCATAATTGTTTGATCGGCATTCTAGAAGTTGGTCAGTCAAAAATGAAACATACAACTTTTTGTTTGTTGCCTAGAGCGATGTTTCGATGTAGATTCTTACTCGTTATCAATCTGAAAGTGTTTAGCTTAAAACATTTAGCTTGATTGCTTTTTGCAATATTCCAGCAATATCATGGCGGATAACAGATAACTTCACACATTATACCCATGTGGGGAATCGAACCCGGGTCTTCGGCGTGACGAGCGAACACTTTAACCACTAAGCTACCCCACCGCCCCCTGACAGAAGTAGGCAACGAAACTATCTATGTGCAGTAATTTGTGGTGTTTTAACATAAGGTGTATCCGGGTTGATTGAAAATGGATGCATTTTATAATGACAATAAAATACAGTTGGCATGCTGTTATGACGAGTAAAGCGATGTATCATGTCGCCTGACAGACATGTCAGCTTTAAAAGGTTTGCCCTTCCCCTGCAGCACAACAACATGCCAGACTGAATGTTTCGTATTTCTCGTTTATCTTCAAAGATTAAGACAAAACGTCTCCAAGAACCGATCTAATATCAAGTGCCATACGTTAAACATGGCTGTTCTTTGAAACTGAGTGAGTGTTTTCCTTATTTAGAAATCAATTCTCTTTTTACCCTGAGGCAATTAACGGTCCCTGCTAGCCAGACCCGGTCGCTCTCTCGACGACTCTCTTTGTAACTACCTTGACCAGGCATGGCTCGACCGTTACAGGTCGTATCATTAATGGGTGATCAGGTCGAAACCATTTCGCTAGTAAGTACTGAAGGGCCAATTTTGATCGTGTACTGACTTACTTCATGGTATTACTGAGCTAAACTTATAGACTTATAGTATATATATATCCGTTACTTCTAACAATTCTTATGTAAATAAAAACCGTGAAGATCCGGGTTAGAATTGATCTTCAGCAACCCATGTTTGTCGTAACAGGCGACTAACGGGATCGGGTGGTCAGGCTCGCTGACTTGGTTAACACATGGTTGACTCATGCTGTTGATCACTGGATTGTCTGGTCCTGACTCGATTATTTACAGACCGCTGCCATATAGCTGGAATATTGCTGAGTGCACCGTAAAACTAAACTCACTCACATTATTTGAATCATTGTCCTGGAATTGTAATTTCTAATTGTTGTGATTCAAGTTACACCACAGCTCAAATGCCTGACTGTCCTAGTCTAGAATGCCATTGTTCAGATTTTATTCTGTATAAGTAGGCTTTGGTTCAGGTGTGTTCGTCTAATCTTAATACATGTAGTTCAAAAGACATATTTTACGGAAAGGCCCTCAGTGCTCATTTCTCCCTATCTTATCAAGCCGATGTTACTCGCTCCATAGAGCATGGAGTTAATTAAATCCCACATGACAGTTGGTAACTTACCTGGCTGTCTGTACACCTTTTCGATTGTCTTGTCATGGAGTGGTGCCAGCTATCTAATAGCGGTTATACAGTTGCTTAACTAATCCGACTGTATATTTGCTCATGGTTTGTTAATCAGCGACCCTTGTCAGTGTTTATTAGGCCTTTGAACTCACTTTGCTGTGACTCGTGAAGATCCGGGTTAGAATTGATCGCCAGTAAGCCATGCTTGTCGTAAGAGGCGACTAACGGGATCGGGTCAGCCTCACTGACTTAGTTGACACATGTCATCGTATCCCAGTTGCGTAGATCGATGCTCATGCTGTTGATCACTGGATTGTCTGGTCCAGGCTCGATTATTTACAGACCGCCGGACATGAGGTAGTCTAGACCACGGACCATGTTTTGTGTTATTACTTTATTCTTATTTAATGATACCCTGAAGTCCTTGAATGGAATTTACAAGTTGTAAGACAATAGAGCTTGTAAGTCTTGCCAGGCGCTACTTTCGGTACAAAGCTCCCTTTGCTCCCATTGCGCGCGCCAAATCGCGATATGCTTACTTCCGGTACCTGATTTCCGGTGACAAGCGTATATTCAAGAACCAGATCTGGTTCAAAATTGCTCGAATGCCAAATATGACTTTACTAGGCCGGACCAAGTGTCCAATCATGTTTGGCTGTCACAGCTGTTGACAGTCGTAATAGTGTACTAATTGGGGGGTGGGGTGGGGGTGGTGGTTTGGTCGGACGTTTGTTATTCCTGCAAGGATCAGTTCCTTACTGTCAGCAGACAACCATGAGACCATTCGAAAATGTATGCATCGTTGCTTGTCACCGGAAGTACCAAGGTCTCGCGAAGTGCCGTGACCTACGTACGGGCCCTATTTCATGGATAACAACATCTTTTTCTCATGGCGTCTCAGAGCTAATTCTTGCTCCTTCATCAAATGAGTGATGCAATGTTTATTCATTAATGTCATCTGGTGCCAAAGCACAGTTCCGTGACAGTGGAACTGGGGATGACAAATATTGACAGATTCGATATATTGACGTCATCGGACAGGAACTGTACGTGTTATGTAATCTTCATTTACATATTGCGAAACAGAAACAGAGTATCACGTCATGTCTACATGATGCATTGATACACATCGTGTCATATTATAATGCATCACTGAATCAATACAATGCATACATTTGTCAGTATACTTGATAACCGTGAACTTGTCAACTTGGCACCGCCACCGTGACATATGTAGAATACATTTCTACCATATTGGCATGAATACTTGAACCCAATATGTCAAATGTATAATAACATATTTATCGGAAATCCACGAATACAAAGAGTTGTGTGGGGTATTTTTACGTTGGTGAAAATGGTGATGATATTTTGTGAATATGCACATGTACCACATGTTTTCTTTGGCAAGACTGCACGAGTAGCCTTAACAATTTAACGTCGAGTGTTCTTGAGAAACCTTTAACACCAATTGCTTTACTATCTTCCCCAAATGCTGATTAAAGATGCTAAGTGAAAGCAAATATGGTTTTGCTAATATCAGCGCCAAACTCTTAATGATTACGATCAGTCTCGTCCTCTACAAACATTGGTAAGTTTATTTAAAATGAAGTAAATAATTTTAATGAAACTACGGTTCTCTTTCACCACCAAATTACTTTCATTTGATTGCCAACCAACTTATAGTCATAGATGAGTTTGATAATCCGATTAATCTGAACATTCGCGATTAAATGTTTTGGAGTCACGCAAATATACTGCAGTTGTTACCTTTTAATATCCCGCAGGAGGTAAAAACGAAAAAAACCCTTACCAGACTGCATCGTAAATATGATAAAAGCACTGGTGAGAATCCATGTGGCATCGTCCCATGGTGAATTGGCCTTCGGTTCATATGCTTCCGTCACATTTGAAGTCAAACTTTCATTCCCATACGCCGCTGTTACGTTCGCCATCTTGAAACGGAACTCCGCTCAAATGTCTGAGTATTGAGTATGTATGTACAGACACGGCACTGTAAATACGTATTTCAGGCGCGTGTTAAATATTTATTGACCATTGGTAAGAAACGAAGACTGGAAGACTTTTATTGTTATTTGTAAGAACATCCGCTGAAGCGTGTTTACTCGACGTATGTATATGAATTGGTTTTATTCTCTAAGGACAGGCGTTAAAACCACTTCAATGTGCTGTTTATCTGTAGCTGAACTGTTCGATAACCATTGTGGCTGCTGTCATAGAAGCGACATCAACACACAAGGTGGAAATAGCTCAGTTCGGTTAGGGATGGTATTTTCAAAGTCCGTTTTGTGCAAATGACCTTTTGTTTTCTCCAAGAATTGCCTTTAATGATAGCATTCGTTAATAATTAGAAGCACGGTCCAAGCATCAAACAGTTCATTCTGTTTGATCAACCAGAAAACCTAGGAACGTAATACACGTAGCCATAGATACAAGTGATCCGAATAATAATCGTTCTCAGTGATTAAAATGTAACGGAACGTTATCATTATCTAAAACAAGCCTTGCATATTATAGGCCTTCACTGTACTGGATATGCACGTACAGGAAATTATAAATATCTTTGAGCAGAAAATAACAATAAGCAGACATTATTTAGCATCGAGTCGTGGGAGGGGCTATGGGTTCACATCTTAAAGACAGCTGAAGACTAGGGAAGCATTTGCTGTAGAAATGTCACTATGTCACTATTCCCAGTTGTCCACTGTGTCATGCGCTTCAGCAAATCTAACAAATCCAATACCGCCATGATGCCTTTACATTCAGTGTTTAAGATTAAACATTTTCTTCAACGCGGATTGTTCAAACTAATTTGTTACGTATGCTCTCTGGTGGTATACCGTGCGAAACATTGTAAGTGAGTGAGTTTAGTTTTGCACCGCTCTCAGCAATATTCCGGCAATATGGCGGCTGAAACATTGTAACATAATCACAGTACTCTGTCTCAAAGACCTCTGACGTCTTCCTTACTGCATATACATGTATTGTCTCATGGAAGGGATTGTTTCTATCAACCCGGGGTATCAGTGTCGTTTGGATATCAGAGGGATACCTTTATGCAATCAATAGGCAAATGTCAATAGTGCTGCATCTCTGTGATATGTTTGATAAACATAGGGGAAAATCGATAATCATGTCTCATTTCCGTACATGGCATTGATGCAATGAGAACTTTCTATTTACCATTTTATGTAAACTAACAATGGTCGGCGACCGGGTACAATTTTAATTGGTTTTCAAAGGAACAGACAATACCTTTCTGAAGCTTTTAACGGTTTCTCTTTTAACATTCTAAAAAAATAACAAAAATTCTGCGATTCTGAAAGAGCTATGTAAATCTAATCAGCTATCATTTGGAATTTTGAAAAAGATCCTTCAAACCAAATAAAACGCTGGATGTGATAATGAAAGTAGATTGCGAAATGTCGACATTGTACAAATCGACCGTAAAGCTATGGCTGCTCATGTTGGAACTTCACACAAAGTACAGGCAGTGTATCTCTGTCAGTCGTAAAGGGTACCGATTTTATCACGGCAAAGGCATTGTAGAAAATATGGATTTGCATCGGGCATCATGTTTGTCCTTGTATGGCGGCACACTTTCAAATCTTCGTTTAAAGAGCACCCGTGAATATCCGGGATAGAATATTGGTCTTCAGCGACCCATGCTTGTCGTAAGAGGCGACTAACGAGATCGGGTAGTCAGGCTCGCTGACTTGGTTGACACATGTCATCGTATCCCAGCTACTTAGATGCTCATGCTGTTGATCGATTATTTACAGACCGCCACCATACAGCTGGAACATTGCGGCCTTAAACAACAAACCAAACTAAATCGTATGAAGAGCATTTTCCGTCGTACCGTAAACGCTACGAATTATAGACACCAAAGGTTGTACATATGATTGTATATAACCGACACTATATACTCGAAACCTTTTTTGAAGTCATCCTATTGTCTTACAGACCTGTTCATAATATCTTGTTACTCTGAAACAAATGAGGCTGATGTCATTTGTCGCTTATTTTGGTGAGAATCATCATTAGCTGGTTGACTATTATTGAATGATATCAATCTCCTTGATTTACTCAGTTAAACTGAAGCCTCAGTTAAACTCTTGTCCGAATGTTCTTGTTTGGACTATATCGATTCAAGCATAACACAATTGATGCCACGATTTCACCTTGATCTTATTATGAGAGAGTCCACCTTTTCACAAATAAACCAAGCATTTCGAAGCTACGTAAATGTCATCTGCATTTAAAGTGTCAGAGATATTCCTCTTCCATTCATTTCCACTAACAAACCTGGAGAAATCAGCTTGAATCAGCTGAGGAAACCACTTACATTCACATTTCCGATCGATAAGATATAAATTTGACTTCTTGCAAGTCAAGTTGAAATTGCTGCGATTGTGTCACATACTTGTATGAATAATGCACAGGGAATACTTTAATTATTTCTCTATGGACGATTTATCTGACCCTGGACGAGGATATAGTTACTGTAGACTGAGTACACGGAGTTTATCACACGTGACAATAGAACTGTATTTCATTTGATTGACATGGAACATTTATGATTTTCTGTGATGGAAATAGGTAAAAATTAAGCAAAGATATAATATGGGGAAAGTATATATCATATTCTGTTTCTTTCTTTACTTGGTAAACGTCTTCCCCACTTCCGTCACTAAAATTTGAAGCAGTGTATATAACAATGCTGTGTGGTGAAAAGATTTAACATCGGTGACCTGCCATATGCTACTCAAGAGGAAATACGTCAAACTACTGTCCTGTCATCCGTCCCCGCTGCTGGACATAGAGAAAGGTTGTTTCCAGTTGATCCGAGACAAATTATGATTACTATCATTCATATAATAAAGCACGGTTATGTTGGACTATCTTTTGTAATCTTTCCCCTTGTCCCTCTTTTCCCAGACTCGGGACAGTTGATTTATGAAGTCTGGACAGTATTTCGATAGAAAACTAGAAACTACTGGAGTCAGGTCTGGTCGTCCTATTGACGTGATATTCGGCCCATTCCAAACTTGCCTGCATTCAATGTGGGTTAAGTGGGATGCAAACGCATTCCGTGACCGGAGATCAGGAGATCAGTCCTACGGAGAGTAGACATTTTAATCCCACTGCAGGTCTTTCTGAGAATGATGACGTCTCTCTACAGTCAGGAGAAATCTGTCTTCTCGTTGTGTGTTGGGCCAAAGTCAAAAACATGCATATCGCTGGGTAGCTGATCACAGTTTGGCTGGCACCAACGACATTAAATTGCCGCAGTAAACGAGTTAAAATTTATATGAACAATGACAACATTTAGCCATATAGCTAAACCCAGTTTCATGCATGCCAAAGATTTGCCTTATGCTTTGGTTGTCAAGCTGGCATCTTGGTTTCTGAGTTGGAATATGTGTATTCAGCTGTTGCAAGCCACACTAGCAAATGTTGTGCTTTCTGACATTTATGAGCACCGATTTTGTAACGATGCATCCAAACACAGGTTTTCAAGTACATCGTGCCCATGACTGCACACACACACACACACACACACACACACACACACACACACACACACACACACACACACACACACACACACACACACACACACACACACACACACACACACACACACACACACACACACACACACTATGCATACAAATCCATTATATATCTATTTGCACTATTTGCAACAAGTTTCCATTTGTAAATATAGGACTGCACTTGCTCAGCTGCGATATTTAAAAAAACCCAAACACCACGGATTGCGCCTAATTTGTAGCATTTTGTAATGTTTACAAACAGCTAAGAGGTAAACATGTGCCACAAAAAATACCATCTATTCCCGATATGGCATATTTTGTTAATGTCATCTAATAATGTATTAAAAATATATTCCTGCATATACTTCTAAAAGAATGCGCTTCCGTCTTTTTATGATTATGGATATATTGTGAATGCTCTTTCTTAGTGTAACTTTGTAATACAGAATGAGCCTATGGCCTAAACTATGAAAGTGCGGAGATGTACACTGCTAGTGCTTTATTCCAGGGACGCGTTCTGTTGAAAAAATAAACACAAACAAATAGATGTGTGAAGTGGGAATCTAATGTCATACCGTGCACTTATTGAATACGTCTCTTTGATCAAAACACCAGGAGTCGTGAGTGACAGACATCTGATACTACAAGTTTGACTCGTATACAAGAATATGATCAGCTGCTGAAATCATCCTGTCAATATAGGCGGACAAAGGGCAGCTGAAATCACTGTTTCTGTCAACCTAGATTTCATTGGAAAACAAACTTGCGTGTACAGAAGACCTGGATCTGCTCTCTGGTATTTACTGGATTCATTTATTACTCCAGAGTATCGGGGATGACAACCACAACACGTTATAATAGAATAACAGATGATCTTCGAAGAAACTCACTTGTTTATGGAGGACTGCATAATGGGATATTCTACCAAAGCAAACGTTTTTTATGTGTCAAATCGATTATATCTTAGTTTACAAATCACCTTGTTAGACCATGTTTTTTATGGGAACAAAAGTACCACTACATCGTGTTCACAGTTAAACAGCAATCAATATATTGCCAAGTGTGTACAGGCAGAAATAACCGGTTTCATTTGGATTGCTGCGGCGTTAACAAGTACCCTTCGAATACAGCTATTAGTTAGCATACAAGGTCCTATGCCAAATGTCCATTGTACGATGTCATCCAACATGGTCTTGTATTTTTACCTGAAATATTCGCTGTTCTCCTTTATTAAGTCTTGATGTGTCCTTTTCAATGATAGGTGATCCAGTCATCTCTGGCTTTCTTGTCCGAAACGCTGACATAACCTTATATAATTGGAATATTGTTTGAGGCAACATTAAGCTCATGAGCCCACGTCAGTTTTGTTAATTTGTCTGTATTTAAAGCCGCTCTCTGCAATAATGCACATGATTGCGGTCTGAAAACATAAAAGAGTCTGGACCAGACAGTCTGATGATCGGTATCATGAGTGTATGTCGACACGCAGTCAACAATATCACATAACCTGGTCACCATTTTGTCGCCTTGTGCCATAGGGAGTGACCCATACTTAGTGAAATACTGTATATAGGAAAGTGAAAGCAGGCCATATAGTCACAGAGCATTGCTATGCTCATGTACATTCTCATATATGTGTGTACATGTACAAGATACTGCGGCGGTGGGGTAGCCCAGTGGTTGAAGCGTTCGCTCGTCACGCCCAGGTTCGATTCCCCACATGGGTACAATGTGTGAAGCCCTTTTCTGGTGTCCCCCGCCGGGATATTGCTGGAATATTGCTAAAAGCGGCGTAAAACCATATTCACTCACTCACTCCATATAGCTGCTTCTTCTACCCCATACAGAAATAAGCAATGCCTGACGAATTTTACGAGTTTTTTACGAGGCGCATATGATGGATTTATCATGCTATTGATGCAAAGCCATGGTATGTTCAATAGTCAGACTATTATTGTTAATCTAACAGAATCATCATACAGTGCTATTTATTGAGAAAACATAGACGAATGACGTCAGGGAAATAAATAATTATCTTCATAGTTTTAGTCTAGCTTATTAACTATTGGGATCTGAAGCCCAGACCCCGAGACAACATGTTTTGATCGAATAAGAGTTGGCCCCTCAAGCTTGCATCAAACAGACACTTCATTAGCGCGAAACATTTTTGGTTGAAAATGTCATTAATGCCAGTTAATGTTCTTGGCATAACCCTTATTGATAAAGTCTGATCTACGCGCTGACAATGACATCAGTTACTTTGGAAATACGGATAACTTGAATTATCAAGGAATCAGCATGAAATGCCTTATTTATCTGAACATATATAATTGATATTTCACTCGAGTAATAGTCGAAACGTCCACGCCAGAGAGTACATATCTGGCGAAATAGAATCCAAGTGGACGTCTTAAGCTGGAGCTGATGGTATATCGTTAGGCGTGGAATTCAGTCGTTTTCTTTGTTACCTGGCAAGTTTACGTAATCCCGTGGCGTGATAAAAAACCCTTTAATATCAATTTTGTCAGTTCACTCGGTACAACAAACATGTCCTGAGACACGAAGATTCAAATATCCTCCATAAATGGTCCACTCGTCAGTGGCGCAGAAGCTATCAAGCACAGGTGTTAACTTTATTGGTTAAACATTGTCAAAATCGATGGTGGCTTTGTTTTCAGCACTGTCCTGATTTTGCTGACGTGAGATAAGCAATTACCTTATTACTGGCGTTTCAACACACGCCGAGAGTATGTGACGGACGGTCACTGAATGCCACTTCAGTATGTTGTCATGATCAGCAGAATTAGATATCGACTCGACAGGAAACATCGTGTTGTTTTACAAGCGGCGTAACATGTCTTTTCACACATATGGTATCAACTAAACTTTCGTCTTAGAACTGAAAGAGTGTCATGTTACACTGAAATGTGTCATGAACGTTATCTCTCAAACATTCAAACATTGATTGCGTCTTTTATCATATGCCATATGTTCGACTGATATGAGAATTCCCCAATATTCAATCATCATATTCATTTTATTTTCTTGTTTTTTTCAGGTAATCGTTATAACAGAATCATCAGTAGCACGTCATATTTAACATTGATACCCGACAAATGTGAATTTGAGTGAAGTCTAAATATAATCTAAACTACATATGTGAACCGAGAAGTAACTATTTCTACTGGGGATGGTCATCAGTATGCACTTGTCTGTAAATGTCAAACCATGATCATCTCAGATTACCATCACCGCAAAAGATTCTCCTCAAGCTAACGGTATTACACCTTTCTAAATTCTGAGGGGCAGTTCCCGAAGTAGGTCGGAAGGTGTAGGCGGTACAAATGACTGGGTTTGCGCTGGAATAGGCGTGATTCTTAGAAGCAGCTGACTCTTGAAGACGGTAATCTGCACGTGATCAGTGGCACCAATGGTCATACGCTTATCGCTGAGTCTAATCGAGGAACTTCTCCTGAGAAACTGTGATATCAGCAAGGGCTTTTCGACAAGTATTACCTTACTTCAAGGTATTTTCTACTCATGGGAGGATCGTTTTCATCACGGGAATCTTATGCACCTGCACGTTTAAGCCAGACATTTCTGTGAAAAGCCTTTGAGAGGATATTTGTGTGTGATGTCATAAGCGAGGCGGATATGAAATACTTATAAATGATAATTGCATGTTAATTGAAGCTGGTACCAAACCAAGATATCAATAGCATCAAGTGTGAATATGTGAGGAGCACAACCCAGCTGGTGTTAACATGATGTCGCATGACGATAAACACAAATATCAAATGTTTTAGTTGCTAAAAGCATTCTGGATCGTCATAGCTTAAAGTGACAGCTGTTTTTCAACAATCCTTATTTTCTTGATGGATGGACAGATGTAATAAGTGCACATGTGATATACCTCCAACATCATGTCTAATACAGCATGGGGGAATGATACTTTGGGAGATGTGACAACAACTTTATCCCTTGGGAAGAATTTTCGGGTTCAATCTCATGATGATGCAACTTGGATACTTAGCAGCGCTTTTGTGGTGTTTACAATGCAGTCAGGTAAAACCAATACCAAGTGCTTATCGATTTGAAGTCCTTAACACATTTCTCTATCAGTATATTCAGTCTTTCATTATTGTTGTGAAAACGCGCTACTCATTCCAGCTTGTTACAACGCCTTATCATGATTGTAGATGTGTAACCGTAGCAGTATATACATGGTTGTATATTCTACCTGTAGTTTAAAGAGTGTAATTTTTAATTATTCAAGAAAATGTGGTTATAAAACCCTTGTCAGAAGTGTTTAATTGGGGAAAACACTCTTCACTCTACCGGTTTCTGAATTAGGCTTAAAATAGAATTGATCTGTCAATTTCTTCATAATTTGGCATCGTTTGTTATCAAACTCCACATGTAGTTAGTCAAATTGGTCCTAATTGTATATATATATACCCTTAGTATTATTTTCGCTTTATCAACATATTGGACTCCATATAGATTGTTAATTAATGACAAGACACAATTATTGTCATACGTATTGATACAATATGAAAGATGCTTCTCTTCACTAATGACCAAGTACTTTCATTAGTGTTGCATTGCATCTGAAATCCGATTAACCCACCATTAGTTATTGACCACAGCATATACAATCAAATGTGTAAATTACACGAAACCAAGGAGGTGAGATGAAATTGGGTTTAACGTCTTGCTTGAGAATATTTCGCTCATATGACGACGTGCATGCGTGTGTATGTGTATGTGCGGCTGCTTGTACTAGCCCAGACTTAAGCTGGTTTTATAGTGCTAGCCCACTGAGATACCATGCCGCAGTGAAGCATGAATACCCCTCTCAGACACATTATACTGACTCCAAGCCGACCAGCCCTTGTTGTACCCATTAATGCCGAGCGCCAGGCAGGGACCAACAAGTACCATATTTTAACGTCTTTTGTATGACGCGGTCGGGGATCGAACCCGCGATCTTCCGCTCTCCGGGCGGACGCTCTAACCACTACACCACGGAGGCGGTCACGAAACCAAGGAGGTTTCTTAGGTTATAATATTAATTATATAAAGAATAAGTACGAGTGTCAAGATTAATAGCAATCGAAAATGCAATATTGTGTATGCTTACCGCGTGTCTAACCCTACTCAATGATCGTGAAAGATAACGTTACGTTTTCAGATTGACTTAAGCTCTTAAATTTTAAGAGCTATCGCTTGGTGTATGTTCCTGATCAATGGATAGCTCCGCTACTACGCAGATAGGTCTCTCGAGGGGCGAGCCTTCTCATGGTGAAGACCCTTCATCAGATAGTATATGGATACTTTCAAGCACATTTGTCATCTTCGCGATGCAGTCAGGTCGGTCGTTTCTTTTGGAAGGAGTTTCAGTGTAGATTATTGGGAACTGCCCATTATCTGGTGACTTATAAATGACCGAATTATTATTATTGAATAAGGAGATACACATTTGCGTTTTGATATTACGTACCCGCAATGTTCCACTTGAACTTGTGGTCATTTATGTTGTGGGGAAGTTGCAGTTTAAGCTTATATCTGGGAACTGCACGTTATCTGTCGACTTATAAATGTAATTATTGAAAATTAAGGAAATACACATTTATGTGTTTTCATCATTTGCGCGTTTGCGTATACCATACCCGCAATGTTCCACTTGAATTTGTGATTAGGTGCGTTGTGAAGAAGTTGCAGTTTAAGCTTCAATCTCACTTCTCGAGTGCATTTGTATTAGTTCATAAGTCTTAAGCGACGAAAGTGATGTGTTGTTAGTGTTGGTACCTTAATGATCTGGCATCGTAAAGACAGGAAACCTGACCTATACGCAGTGGAAAATAGCCACCGATTGACGGACTAGTTATAAACGACTGAAAAGAAAGTTATGTTGATGGTAACGAGTAATTCTAGCAAGTGAAGACTGTAGCGATATCATAAATGTCGCTTCCCGCGTGTCATGGAATCAGATTAAAGAGTATTTTGCGTGCAGAGAGGTATACATTGCAATAAATGAGTCTAAAATGTTTTATATCTGTAATCAATAAACAGAGACAGTAGTTATGATATGGCAAGACACTCAGTAGTACATTAGTCAGAATGAATACTTCTTGTAGCAATGACTCTTCGTTGTGATGATGATGATGATGATGATGATGATGATGATGATGATGACGATTTATTTATGTAAATGTTTGATACAAAGGACGAAGTATGTTGAGTAATATTGTTAAATAAAGAATGTTGTATTAGCAATCGGGTTACATTGTTTTGACACACCAAGTTAACTGAAGGCAAATAAGGACAGATATGAATTTTGACATTTATAGTGTTTGCGATAGATTTGGGATGTTCTTGCCATGGTAGGTATCAAATAATGCAGGCACGAAAGCATTATAATGTAAAAGCAATATCAATGTAATATCGTTGCAGCATGAAAGGCGCAACTTCTTTGAATGTAGATGGTGATAAAGACATCCACAACTATTATTCTGTTATGTTCTCCACAGGTTGTAATGCATCGATTCTTGAATATTTTATGTGTAACATAAATCTCCGAGGCTGGAATTTTCCGAATGTATGCTCATAAATTCTTCTGCACTTCATAAAAAGGCAATACAACGTATAGAAAACATGTACTTTCATCAAAATTCAGAAATAGCAAACTTATGATTCTTTATTGATTGGTGTGGTAAGATTCTTTCGGGAAATGGACTAATGGCAGTGCAGATGATAATTCGGATGCAAGTAATCTGAGCCGCATCATCTTAACAAATTCAATATAGTTTGGTTCATGATCGCGTGTCTCACTGAAGAAATATAGTTACTGTCACTGGTAAGTCAATAATGAAATGCTAAATTTACATGATTTTGTATGAAACTGTCTACTAGAAGAGGAAAATGTGTCTCGGCTGGTTGTATTTTTTATCTGAGCAACATATAAAAGTCTTGCCAATCACAATGCACAAATATATACTTACGATTCTATGTGAACCTTCATGCTTCCAGTTCGTTGATTTCATGCCAATTTAGCAATATTCAAGCAAATTGCGGAGAGAAAAGGCGCGATTTACAAAATTAATCTGAAGTGGAAATGTGAACTAATTTATAAGCTACCCAACAACGTTATACTTACAATCGGGGCGGTGGGGTAGCCTAATGGTTAAAGCGTTGGCTTGTCACGCCGAAGACCCGGGTTCGAATCCCAACATGGGCACAATGTGTGAAGCCCATTTCTTGTGTCCCCCGCCGTGATGTTGCTGGAATATTGCTAAAAGCGGCGTAAAACCAAAATCAGTCAGTCAGTCAGTATACTTACAATCATTTCGAGTTCCCCGGGTTCTGGTTTACGGTAAACAGAAAGACTGTCAAATCAATTTCATATGCCATTATCTACTTTACTGTTGCACATTCAATATCCCAACTGGAAGTAAAACTAATGTAGAAAGTTTTACATTACAGTGGATGACCAGTGACATGTTCACGGAGTGACTGAAATCATGTAGCAGTTGTAATCGATAACCATTTATTCCAGAAATTTGGTATCTGTCATCTGTCTCTAGATGTAGTAGAGGAACTGTTCTGATGCATGGGAAACAAATACTAAATAAATAGAAAACCTTGGGAGGGCCATTCTGTTAGGCATTGCGGCTACCAACACATCACTGGCACAGATTGGTATTCTGTCTGTGAAAAACACAGGCACAAATACCGTCACTAATCATGATGACAACGTAAACATATACCACCTGTGAGTGACTGATTTCAAGATCTCACATATCACTGGGTATAATGTCATTCCCCAGCTTGTATAATGTACATCTCCGAGTTGTCGTGCAATCGAATCTCTTCCTACGTCCACGGGTCTTGTCCCTTTCCAGTCTTTGTCAAATTTCATTCGTAATGTTCTCTAACCTGAACTGTGTTATTTGAGTATGTGTAACTGCTTATAGTCTATGGCTATTCATGGTATTGTCAATATTGTAAAACGACCGCCGCCATATACCTGGAAAATTGCTGAGTGCGGCGTAAAACTAAACTCATTCACTCACTCAATATTGTAAAACAAACATTACTTAATATGAAACAAACCGTTTCTGCATTGATATTTCTACATTGATGTTGGACAAGCATTGATGTTTAACCCGCTACAAGTATTGGATTTCATTCAGGCGCTCGGAGCAAACCTAACCAGTGGAAAATTGGTATACGAGTTCCAAAACTAAAATTACAATGTATACGATTGTATACAATCACAAAATGTCCATATGCTGATATAGAAACAGAACCTCTGGGTAGTGAATTCTCTCTGGTTCACTGTGGTTCAGGTTTATTGAACAAGCTCTTAGTATGCTTGTCTTCCAGTGTACCTTCTTGTAAATGGGCATTATGATTGCTATGGACTAAGTATGGTGGTTAGTTAATGTTATCGTTTATATTATAGACAATACGATCTCACAACGATTGTCATGTTATGGCATCCAATGATATATACAGTAAATACCACAACAGAAAAGGTACATATTGGTTATCGCATATACATCTTCACGAAATGCAGTGCACAATGAATTTGGATGTGGGAACTTAATGATTATTTGCCTTGTGCAACCAATGATTGTCGACGGAGGCGATAATCGGGATCTAGTTGTCAGGCTCGCTGGTTTGGTTTTAAACCTTTATACAACAAACTAGCCAAACAACATTATGTTTGCATTGCGTGTGATAATGGTGTAGACAAATACACATGAACACAAGGTGGTACAGTATGGTCGCAATTCAATGTTCAAGCTGCATTTTGTTTTATGGAAGTCGTATTTATGTTTAATAAAATGCAATTCTAGCATTAATGCTTACCGAGTAATTCTCATTTCTGAAGGGTAAATTGTGTGAAGCCTGTTTCTGGTGTCCCACGCTGTTATATTGCTGGAACAGTGATAAAAGCGGCGTTAAACCGTACTCACTCATTTCTGAACCCATTGTAGGTTATTCAGTTCATCGCTTGAACCTTACCAGTTAAATAATTCCACAGTGTAGGCTAAATA